TATATATATATATATATATATATATATATATATATATATATATTTGGTTACCCCACAAAAATTGCTCATTTACTGACCCCCTGCAATTACACTACGCGCCCCCTAGGGGGTGCATGGGAGCCACTGGTTTACATCATAAACTCTCAATACAATACATGAGGATTATGTGATGATGTACATTATTGTAATATTGTGAAAACTGAATTTCAGGTAAAATACATAAAATCACATGCATACAATTCACTCTATATTTATCTACGAATATAAAATAAAATAATTACATTTATTTAATGATTTTTTTATGCAATTTTAATTATTCAATTGGACATTAAGGTATTTAAGAGTGCATTTTATAATGTATTGGTATATTTCATATTTTAATCACGTATTAGATATGTTACATCTACTTATTTTATTGTACAATTTATTTGTTTCATATATATTTTAGAGCTCCACATACTTCAGGGATCACATCACAATGATTGTGAAAACCATCTCTCGATGCCCCCCTGCTGGGTGTGTGGTGACCCTCTGAGGGGTCCTGAACCCCCCTTTGAGAACGGCTGATGTGGTGCATACAGCTATAGCTGAGCAGTAAGTGGCTCTCTGTGGGGCTGCAGCGCTCTGGCCCTGCGTGTCCCTCACACCACCTTCATGTCGGGCGTCTCCTGCTCAGCGTGAGCAGAGGGCAGAACTGGGTCACCGCTGCTGAAGTTGGCTGCCCCGCTTGGCCTGCAGAGTCTGGCACCAAAGGCTCAAGAAGTGCCAACATCCTAGAAGTCAAGCCTGGGAAAGTCTTCCATTCCTCTGGGGAAGCAGCCTTTTGTGTTGTTTGACTCTAACAGGTCGCATGAATACAACCCCGCGGCCCTGGTGCTGCCTCCTGCCCTCTCAGCGCCGTCCCAGCAGGCCCAGGGTATTGTAACTTCTCCCTTCTTGGTTACTCTGCCCTCCACCCATCTATCGCTTGTAAGCTCTTCCACTAAATCCCTGGCAGCAGATGTTGGTCACCCTCCTTCCTTTTTCTGGACCCCTCTCGAGCAAAAAGCCCGTCTCAAATTCAAGATCCACCGTCTATGACATCATGTCTGGTCGCCCGGGGTAACGAGACGACTGAGACCTGACTTTGACATGAGCTTAAAACTCTGTTTCTCTTTACCCCCCACATTTGCAGCCATTGTTGGGGACTGTTTTTTGTTTTTTCTTTTCTCATGTGCTGTTGTAAAGCAGCAGATTCACCACCAGAGGGCAGAAGAAGGCCACGGCTGGCAGTTAGAGATCAGAGCTTCTGGTCACCACGTAGACACTTTTGCATGAACCTTTTTTACTGTTTTGTGGTTATTTTTGATCCCTCTTTAAAAAAAAAAAAAAGGAAAGCCAACCCCTCTGTGTGTAAAAAATAAAAGCAGAACATTTGCAATGTTTAGGCATCTGCAGCGAATTCAAATAATAGGAGAAAAAAACAAACAAATGAGTCAAGAGGGCAGAAAAAAAACTGAGAAGCTGAGAAATGGAAAGCAAGACAAAAAGCGAGAGAGTGAAGGGCAGCGAAAATTAGGGAGGAGATCCTGAGATGGTTTCCATGTGTGGAGGTGCGGGACTGAGCTGGCTCCAGGCGGGTGTGGTTAGACGCTAATGAGAAAAGTACCGACGGTAATGGTGGAGGCACAGGGACGAGGAGCGAGGAAGGTGAAAGAGGGGGAAAGTAAAAAATGAGTGAAAAAGTGGAGTGGAAAAGCAGGGGATTGGGTGGAGCAAGGGAAGGAAAGGTAGAGAAAAAAAGGCCGTTTGCCTTGAGGGTCGGCTGCGTACGCGCCAAATAAACAGTTGAGCACATATGGTAAACCACACAAGTACAGTAAAATACAGATGTACTAACGCACACTCTGATGGAGCGCTGTGGGTCACGGTAACCCGAGAGGAGAGAACGAGCCAAGCTCTGAGGAACTTTGGCTCACGTCCACACGGCTGATAAGTTTCCTGAATTTTACCTCTAATTACAGTCAAAGCAGATGAGATTCACCCTTTTTTACACTTCTGACATGAAGACGCAGGCAGGGAGAACAGAACCCCTGAGCTCTTACCTGTGTCTGCTGCGGGATGTTCAAAAAGTTGTTGTCCCGTGATCCGATGCCGACAAACCTGTTGGGAGCTGTGGCGCCTGGCGTGGAGTATGCTACAGAAACAGAGCAAACAACATGCTGGACATAAGCAACTACCTCTGCAGGTCATCAATTCAATGCAGAAAACAAAGCCGCAACAGATGCAGTTAATATCAGATCAGATCCAACTAAAATAACCGTTCTAATCATCAGTCTACAGCCCAATCCATCGTTACAAATGCTACAGTTATCGTAACACAGGACAGTAAAAGTCAGTCGGCGTGAAATGCTAAATAACAGCAGATTAAATTGTTTCCCTTGAAGGTTTTTTTTACACCATAATTCCAGATGGGCTTCAGCTGAGGCCCCCCTGTGCACTAAGCCCACAGTCCTCTTTGCAGCATCTATGTTCACCCAAATGTAAGGATGAAAAAGAAAAGTTTCAACACTTTGAAACTTGTCCTTTTTCCCCTGTTTTGAAAAAGCCGCCTTTTCTCCTAATGATACCGTAACCTCACGATGAGATGAACAATTGTAACTGAAACAATGGGACTAGTGCTGCGCGATTTGATGAAAATGTGGGATTGAGATTATTGTGGACTATACTGCGATTAGGATATTATAAATGAATGGTGTCATGAGTCTGCGTGGCTGAATATCAAGGACAACACAGAGTTAAAAGCTTCTCTTTTCTTCAACCTATGGGAAAAGTGACCAAGCTTCCTGCATGTTCCAATAGCGTTGAGGGTTCGATGAGCCTCACTTTTTACAGCACTTTGTGTGAAAGAGAAGAATCCAAGATACAACTGAACCTCTCCTTTCTCCTTGTGTGTGTGTGCATGTCTAGCCATCAGAGTGAGGACCATTTTTCCAATTTCACCATCAAATTGATGAACAGTTGTTGCAAAGTTTAGGACATTTTGCCGGTCCTCACTTGCTATTTTGCTAATGGTTAGGTTTAGGGCTAAGGTGTCAATTGTGGGGGTGAGGGTGAGGTATGCATTGGTAATGGTTAGGTTTAGGGTTAGGGCATAGAAAGGGTTGAAAATGACAGAAAATCAATGGAAGTCAATGGGAGTCAGAACATGGTCCTCACTACAATGGCAGAATAAGTATATGTGTGTGCATGAATGGACTTGTCGTGTACGTGAATGGTTTTACTGGACATATTGTTTCATGTTGTATTTTGTCCAATTTGTATATTTTCTAACTTATTACTGATTATCCAGTCAAAACTTTTTACCTTCTTTTTCTCATTTTCCCACCACGGTTTCTGAGTCCTGAATGTTGGATGATCTGGTTCAATACACCACTTTAATATTTTTTACTTTTATTTAGAAATTGATCAACTGTTGTGAAAATCCAAAAGCCAACGCGTTATTGCAGTATATCAATAATTTCATAGAAATCGTATCAAGTTCTGTTTCAGAGTAGTTGTTTTATGTAGAAGGAAAACTGCTCATGAAAATCTAGATATTAAAACAAGTTTGGTCAGAAATTATTTAAAAAGTATAAATAGTAGGCGCGGTATCATCTAAAGAGAACCCAGAAACAAATTTCTTGGTCAAAACGATATTAAAATTATAAGTACTCCATATTTTCCTCATAAAAAGCGACAGCAAAACTAAATGAATGGCTGATTAGTTTTTGTTATTTACAAAAGCCTTCCCCATCTGTATTTGTTATATATATATATATATATATATATATATATATATATATATATATATATATAGTGCATAAGACTTCAAATAAGCCTCAAAGTTTTTTGAAAAGAGACCCAACAGTTTCATTCGGTCTCTTCATTTCAGTCGGCCCTCGTGCACAACTTCAACCGGCCTCTCGATCCGTCTCCTGCGCACTTTAGATCGGCCTTTCATTTTCTCACCAGGTTTCGTGCACTCTCGGTCCGGGAATGGTGTCGTTCACTCATAGGCAGATTTCCTCTGTTTTCAAAATAGTTTTTTTTTTTTTTTTTGTGGTTGGTCTCACCTTTTGTCCAATTTGGCGCCTCATAGAAAATGGCAAATCGCAGTCTTTTATGCGATTATCAGAGATGGGAAGTAACGAAATACTTCATTACTGTACTCAAGTAGATTTTTCTGATATTTTTACTTTACTTTACTACTTATTTTTATGCCGACTTTTTACTTCTACTCCTTATATTTTTACACAAATATCTGTAC